GCTCGCAACAAAGAGACTGCCCGGGGGGACCCACACCAGACCAGACCGCTTGTGTTCAGCTCACATGATGCCCGCCCGCCCGCCCGGAAGAGACATGCATGCGTCGCCGCCGCGTACGTACATATACATGCACACATACGTGATTCCTCAGGGTATACAAGACAAGCATTGGCAGCACAATGCCGTGCCGGCGAGCCGCTGCGTCCGGGTGCCGGCGCCGCGTGGGAGACGGCGGCGAGCGGCGCACGGGCGGCGCGAGCGAGCGAAGCCGAGGGAGGAAGGGAGGGGAGGCGCAATGAATGAAGGCGGGCCTTGAAAAGCGTCACCTCAACCTCGTGACCGCGCAGGGTGACGGGTGATGCGACGGGGATGGGGGCCTCCTGCCTGCACCTGCCGGCACGCCACGCCACGCAGCCGCACTGCCAGAGCTCGCTCCTGCACGCGCCGTGCTTTGCGTGCCGATGTGCGCGCGCATACATACCCGCCGCTCTCTCTCTCTCTTTTCCTTAGGAAAGAAATCAGATGTATTACAAAAGGTTCTGCCAAAAATACAAAGTACCTCAAACATGATAAAATTACATCAAGATTCCAACATCATCGAACAACCACATCAAATCCACGAGAAAACCTTAACCTCACCATCCCAAAGAGACACGCCACCATCCCTCCGAGGAAGTGAATCTACACCGAAAACTAACGGAGGCACCGAGGTTCTCGTCCCAGGCCCCATTCGCCGGAGCGGCAGACAGAGGGGAAGCGAATCCATATGCTCTCCGCCTCTCCTCTGCTCGGCTTTGTCACTACTCCATCACTTCCTTTGAAATGTACTACAACAAATGCATACCGTTTTTGTGTCACCACAAGTGTTAACGCGTGTCTTGTTGCCCTTGACTCGGGAAGGAACGAACGGAGCAAGCCTAGGGAAAGAAGAGAGAATGCGTAGCCAGCTAGGTAGGCGTCGTCCTCCATTAACGCCCGGGCTCAAGACGATTTCGATTTGAAAGCGAGCGGCCGTGCAGGGTGCTTGGGGGGAGACATTCATTCACTTGCAAGCATACAAGGGCACTACTCCTACTTAGTAGTAGTAGTAATTGCAGGTACTCACAAGGAAATTCATTGTGCTCGCGCGTACCGCGCGCCATGTAGTTATGGAATCGCATTGCTTGCTACCCCTGCTAGTCGTACCACAGAGTTACTACTACAGCACCCCAACTAATTGCTATAGAAAAGGCCGGCTGGCTCTTGCGAGTGCTAGAAGTACAACCAAACTTTTTTAATTAATATTTCAACCAAGTAGCACTGCTATCTCCTGTCCTTTTTAGTCGATGTAAAATTTGTCCGAAGCCAAAATTCGTAAAGTTTGATCAACTTTATGGAAAAAAACATCAACACTCAGCATACGAAATCAATACCACTAGACGGGTCACTAATTTAATTTTCATATTGTAGCGGCGCGTCGACAACTTGTTCGGACGGCGGCAATGGTCGGTCAGTGGTCCTTGAACATCGACGTATTTTTTATTATGTTTGAGATGCTTTGCACTTTCGGTGAATCTTTATACAATATATTTGATCATTGTCGAAAAAAAATAACCTTTGAACTATTTTTTCATACTAATATAGTCATTTTTTTGTAAGGTTCGACTTCAGACAAATATCACATGCAGAGTAAAAAGGACCGGAGAGAATATCAGCACTGTACTTCCAAGCGATTGAGGCAAGAGCCGTGGGCCACGAGCCGGGCACACTATGCGCGCATCTATCACCACAGCGCAGTGTAAATACGTGCCATCACCATTACCACCACTCGCTGTCACCGGCCACCAAAGCGTCGTCGAGCATCACTCGCTCAAAAACACCGACGATAAAGAAAGAAAACGAGAGCAAAGCAAAAGGCCCCAGTGAAAAGACAGGCCGTTGCTATTTAAGGGCCACCCCCAGTCCCCCAAAGAGGCACACTCCCTGCCTCCCACTCCCACTCCCACTCCACTTCAGCCACGCCACTGCCTCCAGCTCCGGCGATGCCCGCCGCCCCCTCCCCGCTCCCCCCGAACGCTTCCTGAGCTCCCCGCCGCTGCCATGGAGCTCGGGCAGGTGCTGGGCTACACGCCACCGGCGACCAAGGACGCGAGATCCGGCGGCGGCTTCACCCAGGCTGCCGCTTGCCCCTACCCCTACCCCTCCCCCTTCCTCGACGAGCAGAAGATGCTCAGCTTCTCCAAGGCCGCCGCCGCTCACCAGCCGCCCTCAGGTCTTTCTTGGATCCGCTCCTCCCTCTTCCACACATTTTTTCTGGCATCTGTGATGTACTCCGCTCGATCTGCTCTCTGCAAGCCATGATAGATGGGCAGTCCTCTGGCGTCCTACTGTTCCCATGTTCAAAGATAAAAGGAAAAGAGTCAAAAGCAGCACTCCATGAGCCCTCTCTCTCACCTCTCACTCAGCAGCGCCACCAGCTCGATTCATGGCCATGGGGATTCGCTCGAACCTACCCATTCACTGGGGGCCCTCCTGCTCAGCCAAGGCTGCTCCATTCCATTGCTTCTTTTTACTGCTTTATTTATCTACACTTTTGTCTTCACTCGGCGCCTGCAATAACAAGAAACAAATAAATAAGCATATCCATGGATATTTTCAAGATAAGGCTGTTGCTTCACTGAGCATTTTTGCTCATGCTGAGTGGGGTTTCCTCTTCTTCTTTTTGCATCTAGGTATGGATTTTGGGAGGTCCAATGAGCAGAGGCTGTTGCTGGCCAGGAGCAAGATGCCCTTCACCCCTTCACAGTGGATGGAGCTGGAGCACCAGGCCCTCATTTACAAGTATCTCAATGCAAAGGCCCCCATACCTTCCGGCCTGCTCATCTCCATCAGCAAGAGCTTCAGACCCTCCTCCGATAGAAGTAAGCATCCAGCCAAAAACATGTACTATACTCACATCTCATTTTTTTTTACTGAGGTAGAAACGCAGCCAACGTTGTGTGTAGATATGACTGCCTGTAAATGTGATGCAGTAAAAGATCTGTCTTGGTAGAAAAAGTACTGTCCTGCACGTGATATCTAAAAGCATGTCAGCAAATATTGTTTTTTTTTGCATATTTGTAAGTATTTCTAAATAAGAATATATCAGTCAGTAGGCATGGCACAAATGCTGCATATAAGATGTTGCCTCAGCTATCTATTTAGATTTAGTCACCAAGCAAGTTAACATATGCATCAAGCACAACCTTAATACTGTCTACTACTACCTCCGTATCAAAATATAAGACGTTTTGAACTGCAAAAACGCCTTATATTTTGATACAGAGGAATACTTGGTTACAAAGCTATAAATGCAAGCAGAGCATGACCTGCTTCCCTGTAATGCAGTGCCCTGGAGGCCTGTCTATCAAGGGTTCACCAATGCAGATTCTGACCCGGAACCTGGAAGATGCCGTCGAACAGACGGCAAGAAATGGCGGTGCTCAAAGGAGGCGATGGCCGAGCACAAGTACTGTGAGCGGCACATCAATAGGAACCGCCATCGTTCAAGAAAGCCTGTGGAAAACCAAACAAGGAAGAACGCCAAAGAGACACCTGCTGCTGGCTCGATATCGGCCGCTGTCTCACAGGGTGGCTGTAAGAAAGCAAAAGCTGGTGATGAACTGAAGCCAGGGAGCGTCAGTTATTGGACAGATAATTTAAACAGGTTTGTATACATTGAATCTTAGTTTCTTATATGGATCAGAACTATTTCACAGCTATGGAGTGACTGAAAAAATGCAACTGCTAAGCTAGGGAGGCAAAGAAACAAGCAAAAACATTTAAATTTTATTGCAAGGTCATAATTTCGATTTAACACGTGTACTCGTTTGCAGGGCAATGGTGAGCAAAGCCAGGGGAAACAACCCTGAAGAAGGCAACAGTGCTCCACTCCTGAATTCTACTAATCAACAACACACATTGTCCTTGTTCTCTCAACTGAAGCAACAGAGCAAACCAGATAAGTTCAGCCCGGCAGTCGATAGTGAATCGATCTCCTCAAATACTGTATTGAAGCCTTGGGAAAGAAGCAACCAGCAGAGCAGTAAGGACGTTTCTTCCACGACGCTCCATGATCGCGGGTGCCTTCAATCAGTCCTTCAAGATTTCAGCATGCATAAGAATGACAAGATCGAGTCTCAGAAAAACAATGCTTCAGTGCCATCTACTTTCTATTCATCTACAGAAGGTCGACACATCAGCTGCCTTGCATCTAACATGATGCAAGTGCAGGAGGATTGCATCTCAAGCTCTTGGGAGATACCTCAAGGTGGGCCTTTAGGTGAAATCCTAACAAACTCCAAGAATACTGATGACTTGACCAATAAGTGTGAATCAAGATCATATGGTTGGTTACTGAGTCTTGATGAACATGAAATGTGAGTTCGCAGTAAATGGAGAGCTAGACATAGCAAAATTCACCATGGAAGGGAACAATGCTGATGGAAGCAGGATGAAGTAGCTTAGATGTGTGACCCATCCATGCTTGTTCTTCTCTCCATATTTTCAATCTTCTGTTTTGTAATATCCAGTAGTTGCAACTTTTAGTGTTTAGGAATTTGGCTGTATCCTAAAATATTATGGCTTGCCTTGTATCAAGCTTATTAGCTACATCTTTTAACAGGTAAACTATAAGGATCCATTTCTTCATATCCATCCAGTAGTTCCAACTTCCAAGGAACTTTTCTGAAATTATTTGAGCCCATAACACCCATGGTTCTGTTTGTCAATGTCCAAGACCATAACTGTCAACTCTTCATAAGGATGGCATATATTGTAATAATCATATAACAAGCAGATGAATATCAATTCAAATCGTCCTGACAAACATATAAGGCCATTTGGTTATCAAGCCTTGGACAACTTACTGCAGGTTAAATGAGCCCAGTAATCATAGTACAATTATACAGTCAATTTCTGGAAACTTTTATCATACTTTCTGAGGACAGTTTATCATCTCTAGTATGATTCAAAAGAATGAACCCATGTCTGGTACGGTGATGGCCCTTAAATTTGATATACTCCTGTATTGATTATGTCCAGGACAGGATTGATACAGTGAGGAGTATTACAGCAGAGATACGTATCAATAGGACATCCGGCAGATAAGAACAGTATCCAAATTTAAACAAGTGCACTGCACAAACAAACAAGTGCGCCGGCTCAGACACGCACAAATAAAGTCATCATATTTGGTCCTTAACTGAAATTAAATTATGAACAAATAATCTAGTTGTCATCACAGCCAGGCAAACCAGTTCCTCTATTACACAATTTTGTCACCTAAAACACAAGAACAAAAATCATGACAAAAACCAACGTTACAAGGTACTCCCTCCGCTCACAAATATAAGATGATCTTTTTTTTTCTGAATAGGATGTATATACACACGTTTTAGTGTGTTTGTTCACTCATTTCAGTCCGCATGTAGTCCATTTGAAATTTCCAAAACAACTTATATTTGTGAACGGAGGGAGTAGAAGTAGAAGAGAACCAAATTTAAACAAGTGCACTGCACAAACAAACAAGTGCGCCGGCTCAGACACGCACAAATAAAGTCATTAGATTTGGTCCTTAACTGAAATTAAATTATGAACAAATAATCTAGTTGCCATCACAGCCAGGCAAACCAGTTCCTCTATTACACAATTTTGTCACCTAAAACACAAGAACAAAAATCATGACAAAAACCAACGTTACAAGGTACTCCCTCCGCTCACAAATATAAGATGATCTTTTTTTTCTGAATAGGATGTATATACACACGTTTTAGTGTGTTTGTTCACTCATTTCAGTCCGCATGTAGTCCATTTGAAATTTCCAAAACAACTTATATTTGTGAACGGAGGGAGTAGAAGTAGAAGAGAACCAAATTTAAACAAGTGCACTGCACAAACAAACAAGTGCGCCGGCTCAGACACGCACAAATAAAGTCATCAGATTTGGTCCTTAACTGAAATTAAATTATGAACAAATAATCTAGTTGTCATCACAGCTAGGCAAGCTAGTTCGTCTAATACACAATTGTTGCCTAAAATACAAAAACAAAAATCCAGACAAACCAACGTAAGAAGGTAGAAAAGAACCAGATTTAAACAGCTGCACTCAAGACACAAACAAGTGCGCCGGCTCAGACACGCACAAATAAAGTCATCAGATTTGGTCCTTAACTGAAATTAAGGTATGAAGAAGTAATCTAGCTGTCATCACAGCCAGGCAAGCTAGTTCCTCTAATACACAATTGTCACGTAAAATACAAGAACAAAAATCCAGACAAACCAACGTAAGAAGGTAAAAAAGAACCAGATTTAAGCAGCTGCACTCAAGACACAAACAAGTGCGCCGTCTCAGACACGCACAAATAAAGTCATCAGGTTTGGTCCTTAACTGAAATTAAGTTATGAATAGTTGTCATCAAAGCCGCACAAACTAGCTCCTCCAATACACAATTGTCACCTTAAATACAAGAACCAAAATCGAGACAAAAACCAACATAAGAAGGTACGTACTGTATAAGAGAACCAAACTTGAACAACTGCGCTCCAGGAAAAAAGAACAAGTGCAGAGGCTCAGACACGCACAAATGAAGTCATCAGCTTTGGTCCTTCGCTGAAATTAAGGTATGAACAAGTAATCTTGTTGTCATGACAGCCACGCAAGAACAATTGTATGTAAGGATCCTAAAAAAAGATGGAGAAATCACATATGCAGACTCCTAACAGTAATAATGCAGAAATAACCAAACTAAAAAAATGAAGCGCCAATTAAAATAGTGAGATTAATTAAAGAACAAAACGCAAGCGCAACAATAAACTTATAAGCGTGCGGGGGAATCTATTTCTCGGGCTATGGCTATCAGAATCGCAGGATCTGGTAGTAACTGGAAGAAGAAAGCTACAGGTCGTCAAAATGATCCCAACTCCTGTAAAATCGATCCGTCGGGCTGCGGCGGCTCAAGATGCTATCCAGCGCGTGCTTAATAATCGGGGAAAAGAAAATTCACAATCGATTTGCGGAGGTCGACGAGCCTACAATCGAGGCCGATAGAAATTGCAGAGGAGAGGGGGAAATTCGCCGGAAAATAGCTTATCCCTGGTAGAATCAGGGAGGAGATCTGGTCAGATCTGGTAGCTGCTGATTCAGTTGGGGGGGAAGCTGCAGGTCTGACAGTAGAGCACTGGTCAGATCTGTTCGGGATGCAGGTGCTCAAAACAGAGGAACAAAAAAAAAATGTAGGAACAGGGTGGAGGACAAAGTCAAAATCTACCGGCTTGAAATTGGAGGAATTTTTTTAACTAGTGGTGCTCGGAACGCAGGAAGCCAGTGTAGCTGTACTGGAGATAGAATGCGCTTATGGCTGGACTAAAAAAATCAAGGGCAACCTGCTGTGCTTAAATTTCGTGTTTTGACCCCCTTTTCTCATATCTATTCATGATCTGACCCTAGTCTGATAAAATTTCAAAATTTGACCTTTTTGCTATCGCCAAGGTCCATAACGATAGGGTCTAACAGCCTACCGCCAAGGTCTCTGGCGATAGGGTTGCATGCCCTACCGCAAAATTCTCCTAAATGTTGAACACAATACGTGCTCGTGCCTACCGTCAGGCACCTTTGCGGTAGGGTTATACAGGCTACCGTTAGTATGTTTGGCGGTAAGGATGTTTCCTACCGCCAAGGTCCCTGGCAGGTAAGTTGTTACACCTTACCGTCATGGACCCTGGCGGTAGCAAAAGGGTCAGATCTTGAATTTTTTTAAACTAGGGTTAGATTTCGAATGGGTTTCAAAAAAGGTTCAAAACATAAAATTTTGCCACCTGTTATGCATGCGAATGGGTGAATCGTTGTTACATGTGAACATAGACCACATGCACCACCACCGTTTTAGCAACACAGGTCCATGCATGGTCCATGTAAACCAGGTCTACCCTACTTCTGGAGCCAGACATGTCAAATCCAGTTACTCCTGCACTGCGCCAGTTTTCCTCGGGCCTACGCGAAAAATGAGCTTCCAGCGGATGTTTCAATTCCCATGAAAACCGCAGGCTAAGGGCCTCTTTGATTTATAGGATTGTCAAAATGAAGGAATAGAAAAAATGCAGGAATAGGATGGCATGTCCTATAATATCCTACAGAATTTGAAAAAAATGTTTGATAGCGCGGGAAAAATAAAGGAATTCTATAAAGAGGTTTGAGTGGATGGAAATTTTCCTCCAAAATGTAGTACAAATGGATCCTATAAAAAATCCTAAGGATGCCAATCCTATGAATCAAACAAGCATCACAGGAAAAATTCCTAAGGGTTCAAATCCTTTAAAAATCCTATGCAATTCCTTTGAATCAAAGGAGCCCTAAGAAGCCTTTCCTTTGGAATCTATTGGACTGTTCCTTTGTACAGAACGCTCCTAAAGAAAAAAATACCGAAGGAAAGGAAACCACCACAATTCGTGTAAAATTCCTCCGTCCGGAACAGGGCCTAAGCTTGTGCCTGCTGCCATTTGGAATTCACAGGGACTGGGCCGAGCTGTTGTTCTTCAGCCTGTGGTTAGATGGTTAGAGAGACTATGATATCTCCAGTCCATTAGAGTTCAAATTCTGGTGCTCGCATTTATTTCTGGATTTAATTCAGGATTTCCGGCGATGCGCATTCAGTGGGAGGAGACGTTCCCGTCGACGACGAGGCGCTTACGGTGACTTCGTAAATCTCAAGATGATATACTGGTTCAGTCTTTCAGAGATGCTCATAGGGATAGGGTGTGCGTCTGTGCGTTCATAGGGGCGAGTGTATGTGCGTGTATATGAACGCTTGTTTGTGTACTGATGTTAAAAAAAACCATTTCAACCCTACAGGCCCCAAAGTTTGGACCAGATTATAATAGGGTACACGAGAGAGAAATAACAGTGATCTCCCCACGCCCATAACACCTCATAATGTTTTGACATATTTAAAAGCTTGTCTGAAAAAAAAACCTATTTAAAAATTGCAAAAATGTATGAAATAAAACTGTAACATTGCTATGACGACTAATTTCAAATCAAAATCAATATGCAGCTTTAGAAACAAGGAAGAAGACTACATATTCGGCGTTGGTTGTGCTAATAGGCCGAATCCGCATACCAAGTTAAATTAGTTACTAATCATAGCTAGATTTTTTTTTGTTTTATTGCTGAAGATGCATTATGAATTTGGATTTGAACTTTTTTGTCATCTACTTTTGTTAGTTCATTTTTGTGACTTATGTTCCCAATACCTGGGATATGATCTTTTAGCACCGGATACGCCCTTTTTTCTGACTTTTGTGGTGATTTTTTTATTTGGAAATACCCCATGTGTGGGAGTACTCCGATACGTTTACAGGAACACATGCCAAAGCTCTCATACAGG